GAGTTCAGCTGGTGTCTTGGCTTTCTATGCATTTTTACACCTCCCTTTCTTCATGTGTTCAATACTTTTTCCCTGTGCCATTCCACATTATTACAAATAACTTCATTTCTGGACATTTATGGTTTGATTTCTTTGTATGATCACTTGGGTTGTTACCGACATCTGGTGAAAATTTCATGTCATTAGCACCTCTAGTAATATATTTACTGAGAAAAATGGTGACGTGTTCAATACTCATTTTACCCGCTGTATATAAAGTAGAACTTCATTACTTTGGTCTGAATTCCTCCTTATTGTAACTCCACAAGCCCCTCTTTCACCACTTTTTCTGTGGTGTGTCACAGATCAACTTGTTTTGAGGCTGTCTCTTTGAATCTAAACATACCCCACACCATCAAGCTTCCAGAATATTCCATAATAAAAGAGTTTACAACTTTCTAACTTATTCCCAGTCCTCATGATGCCTTCTGTTAATTATGGGAGTGATTTCTGATGCAAACTATAACCAGCAATTGTTTTTGTGCGAATAGTACGAGCTAGCACAGTTTGAGCTCAAATGGGACAATATGATTATACCACTACCTACTGCAGTTGCAGAATAGGAGGATGACCTGAAGAAGTGGTAGTAGCATATTTGGCTGCTTCATTGACTTGGTTGCTTTAGTCTGTAAGAAACATGTTTTTACTAAGACACAAACCAGGAGACAAATTCAGATTTAGACTTGAACATTTAATTGCAAAGAATAAAACCATACAAAAGCCTTCTGCTCTACCAAACAACAAACCATTATTCAGTCTAAAGATAATTTGGTACCAAAATCTAAACAGTCCACACATTTTATCCATTACCATCTGGGTCTGGCCATATGACAGAATCATTCTGGACAGAGTGCAGACAATGAAATTGTAGTTAAGTCCAAAAAGATTTTGGATGATATGTCCCCTTTAAATTATTCATGTATTTAATTGAGCACTTGTTAGACTGTTTGTTGGAAATAATGCCTCAGAAGAAGCTGTAGAAACAGATTCAGGCCTGCGTGCCTCCATCAAACACAGAGCTGATGGTCCGATCCCTGACCGTTTGCAGAAGTCTGCAGATGTGTCGAACGTTTCCCCAGACGCTGGTTGTAACCAGGCAGTGACCCGGCGGGCCGCTCCTTCCTGTGGTGTTTCTGCCTCTGTGTGGTACCATGCCACAGCTGGATCCCATCAGAACAGGGAAAAGAAGAATGTTGCTTTCAGGGGAAGTTTGAGACCAGCCGGCCAGCGAGAAGGCCAAAGAAAACAGGACAAGTGTTTGTAAACACCCCTAAACACACAGTCACCCTCGCCCCTCCGCTGGGTTTGTTTTGATAGAAAACTTTTATTTCGGATTAAATCCCACCGTCGTGGTTTGAAGCCTCCTTACAGGTTTTGTTCGTAGCAAACCACAGCGAGGCTCCGGGAACTAACGGGCTCTCTTTGACTGGTAAAACCAGAAATCCTCTGTTTGCTTTTTTTCATCATCGCTTCTCTCCTTTCACTTTCATGTGGCAGAAGAAACTGATCTTTCTTTGTTGAGTCATCCCACTGCCAGAGAACGCCTCCGACTTCAGTCAGCTCCAGTCAGCGGAGGAGCAAAGTGGGAGTTCAGGGGGTGGGGGCTTCACAAATCTTTCCTCCCTCGTTTAACAGCTCTACCCTTCATTTCATTGGTCTAACTTGTTTTGGTAACACTTTGGATCCAGCCTCTTTTCTCTCACTGTTACACTTCCGTTCTCTGTACAACTCTTGTGAAACTTAAAGAAAAGCTGCTGCTATAGTTTTTAACAAGATTTATTATTATATATGTGTCTACTCTAGAATATAAAACTTTAAGGGTTTCTCTTTTTCATTCCAATTTATTGTTTTGTGATTTGAAAAAAGGTTTATTTTTAAACTGATCTGACTTCCTGTTTCCACTGCAACATCATCTGTGTTATTTGGCCACCTGAGAAAACATGTTACAGACGAGGACAGAATTATCAGTCCCGTTCCACTGAAGAAAGGGTATCAGACTGAACCTGGAGCACAGAAAGCTTAGGGGATTTTCTGCTCAGAATATTCAGAAGTTTAAATTCGACGTGACTGGACGTGTCTGCAAAAGGACAAATGATAAATAACAAAACTGTAACCGAAGAGTCCAAAACAACTTCCACAAAGATGAGAGGTGTACTTCAGGGTCGTGTCCAAATTCGGGACCGCATCCTTCGAAGGCCGATTACATCACAGCGACATGCCAAAGGATTTCCAAAGTGAAAGGCTCCTGCAATTGTGACCCACAAATCATAAAAACACAAATTTACCTCCATACTTTCTTCCCAAATTGAGGGACAGGTGTGTATCCTTCTCAGCCCGCCCTTCTAAGATGCATTGCGGGCCAACTGGGAGATTTTTTTTTGTAATGGCGGACGAAGTGATAAACAGGAGTACAGTTTTAAATAAAAATCTGGCTGTACAAAAACTGAAAGTTAAGAGTGGTTTTGTTAGCCTTTGTCATTTGCATAGACATTTTGTTTAGTATTATTCTTGTCAAAAATCACTGTAAACGATTTGTATGATGGGTCCCTTAGTTCTTCAAGTTTTGCTTTTAAGCTTAATTTTATTATTCTTAATAATATATTAATACTTAGTTAATTTTATTTTATTTATTTATTTATTTATTTATTTATTTATTTATTTGCTTCTGTTTGGCACTGTCCCGATTGTTACCGGACAGATGCCAGGGTAAGGGCAAGAATAAAGCTGAGGTCTAGACTAGTGGTGTCCAAAGTTCTGCGTGTATTAAGTACTGCCCTGGTTCAACACAGCTGAACCTCAGGAGTGCTTAATTAGTGGGCCTCTGCAGACCTTGATGGTAAACTGAGAAGGTAAATCATCTATTTGAATCAGCTGTGTTGAAGCAGGGACAAATCTAAAACTTGCAGGAGGCCCTTGAATTGGACATGCCTGGGCTAGACCGTCCAAATTCACAGCCACTTTCTTCCGGTCTTTGCGATCGACAAAGGACCCAGCCCACGTAGACCAGGTAGGCTGGGTCCTTCGAAGGATGCAACCCCTGAATTTGGACACAGCCCACAAAGCGAATGACCAAGGAGGACACCAAAGCAAAGCAACACCTGCTGCATCTGAATCTGTGCAATGAAGTCTCAAGACTATCAAGGCATTCTGCAGCGAAATATTCTGCTTCTAACCAGATAATGACCCAAAGCACTCAGCTGAAAACACCCAGGAAGGACTAAGAACAAAAACACTGGACCTTCAGACCTGAAACAGCCGGAGCAAACTGTTCATGACAAACAGGTTAGTCGTCAGGGCCCCAACGATAACCAACAGAAAGAGGGAAAAAAAGACAAAAAAAACAAGGGGACGTTGAGCCCCGCCTGCACTCACTACATACACATAACACGACACCTAAGAACCACAGCATCCAAACCAATAAGTCAGGTGATGGGACACATGACCCTCTATGCACAATAGAGCTAATCAAGCCTATTGTTAGGCGATGGCCCTCTCTTGCATGTGACTAACCTGTTTGTCCATGTGGAGGCAGTGCTTTTAAGGCTGAGTTCACCTGAAACTCATCAGACTGAAGAAGTCTCTTGGAGGAGAGATGAAACGTTTCACTAAAGAAGAACCCAGAGGACCTACTTATTCTTTCTTTTTGAATATCTTTAGTTATTTTATAAAATGCTCTTCAAGTTCACATCGTTTCAAGGTTTAAATTCCAACCTTGGAGCTTCAAGAGCAACGTCTCACGCAGGCATGTTTCTGTTTGCTCCGCAGAGATCTACACCATCCAGGGGAATACTCATGGCCGACCCTGCTACCTGCCCTTCATGTACGAGGGCCAGTGGTTCCACAACTGCACCAGCATCGGGCGGGAGGACGGGCACATCTGGTGCGCCACCACCTACAACTACGACCGGGACCAACGCTGGGGGTTCTGTCCTGTCAAAAGTAAGTCAGCACAAATTGTTTCTCACGAACACAGAACTGATGTTTTTTTTTTAAACGTCTTTTCCGTCAGGCAACAGCTGCGAGACGTTCTGGGACACGGACCRGCTGACGGACAGCTGCTATCAGTTCAACTTTCAGTCCACCTTGTCGTGGAGCGAGGCTCGGATCAGCTGCCAGCAGCAGGGGGCGGACCTGCTGAGCATCTCCAAGCTGCACGAGCAGACGTACATCAACGGTAGCATCAGATCACACTCGTGTTGTACTCTGAAGACGAACAGGTTGTTCGGTGTGACCATCAAAGGTTGTGGAACAAACTAAACCCTTTCCCTGTTTCAGGTGTACTGAACGCTTACAGCACTGCTATGTGGATCGGCCTCAATGATCTGGACCTCACCGGAGGCTGGCAGTGGTCTGACTCTTCACCGCTCCAATATCTAAACTGGGAGCCAGGTTAGCCCCACTAAGAGCTACATCCAGACAAGAATAACTCAAATTAAAAGTGCTTTTGGATTGTTATCTGAGCACCGGGATCTTTTTTTTTTCACTTCACTGCAGAGCAGCCTAATCACGCCGAGGAGGAGAACTGCGTCGTGGTCAGATCCGAGTCGTCCGGTCGTTGGCAGAGCCGCGATTGTTCTGACGCTCTGCCGTACGCCTGTAAGAAGAGGCCCAACGCCACGCTGGACCCCTTCACCACCGGTCCGTAGGGAAGCAGGAAGCGGTCCCGTGAATCAAAAGTCTCAGTCTGGAATCTGACGGTTTTAACGTGTCTGCAGATTCGTGGGCGGATGATCACAAGTATGAGTGTGATTTGGGCTGGGAGGCCTTCCAGGCTGGATGCTACAAGCTCAGCTCAGAGAAGAATGACTGGAACGCTGCTCAGAMAGCGTGCCAGAAGATCGGCGCCAACCTGGTCAGCATCCACACTCTACCTGAGCTGGAGTTCATCATGCGCAACCTGAAGAAAGGTTCGATTTGAACAAAAACTCAGGTTCTTTCTGCCTTTGCACACTTTTTAAAGGTGTTTTCTTTAATCGCTCATACTATTTTAGCTTTTTATATTGTTCAGCTCTTTCAGGAGAAAGATGACGTGTGAGTTTTGTAACTTTTATACTTTTTAACAAATTAAATTGTTTTATAAATGTTTTCCAATAGAAATAGACTTCTTTTATTCCTTCAAAAGCACTGTTTATAATCTGCTTCAGCA